TCAAATAGCTCCAACTTTTGGGTTTCTTACTCTTACAGCTTAATTTGTTGGTTGGTTGGTTGGTTGGTTGGTTGGAGTGAAATTGAAAATAACCCTAGAAGATGAATTCGAGGGCGGGTTGACTGACTGACAGTAGATCGAGAAAAGGGAGTTTCAATGGACATGGTTGGTTCTGTCTTAGGAAACCAATCAAGACGTAACGTTTGGCGATCATGCAGCTGGATTTTCTGGCAGCAAGCACTACTGCAAATATGCATGAGAATTAGAGACCTTATCTCCCCTAAGACACATTACTATAGTCTTTGTGGTTCAGTTGTATGATAAATGAAGTTTTTGAACACCAAGACCAAATGGGTTTTCAATTTTAATTATGACAAACCTAAGCTGATGAGGGTATTAACTATTAACCACAAGTATCCAAATATTGCAAATGAGGAGGACGAAAAACTTCCACTCACGTAGAGATGATGAAGCCTATATAGGGATTTAGGCATTAACTAATGCGGAGGGGGATGTTTAGAACAATCAACCTCAAACTCGTGTCATTGTCATGTACCCAGGAGACGAGGAAAAGAGTGGGAGAGATGGGTAATTTTTTACATTTAAACAGAAAAAAAATTGGATGAGATTGCACAGATTAGTGCCGACTACTTGATGATTTACCCTGAACTTAACTGCTAATGAAGATTGTTCAGGACCTAATAAGAATGACCCTAAGATTCTAGTGGCAAAATTACATAAATTTTCCAATTCCATCTTCAAAGGCCAGTCTTTCTAGTATGCTCTAAAATATTGGTGCTTTGCAGTTGAATTTGTTTTGTCGCTATGTTGGTACTGTAACATAAAGATATAAAGATATGTATTCAATTTCTGCATTTATTTTATGATATAAATTCGGTTTGTATGTCAAATTATACGTGGAATGAAAGATGCCTTGTTCACATTAAGTTTTTGTATGTTAAAACTTGTAATAGAATGTACTCCATAATACTAATAGTTTTTACACCGATGATTTTTGTATGGCATATAATATATATGGAATTATTTTCAAAAGAAAATCAATAAGAAATTTAACTCGCAACTCACTTTCGATTTATTATAGATAGCTCTAGCTAGAGTTTGTGGTGCCGCTAAAAATCAATGTATTAGAAACCCTACCGTATCCAAAAATATCTAATATCATACAAAAATTCATAGACGATTTTAGCAATAGAAAACCAATAAACCGTAATCAAAATTTTAGTACAAAATACCCTACAAATTTTTTTTTCAATATAACCTTCCAGTAGGGTTTTGCAATCACCGCTAAAAATATGCCTGAAGGAAAGACTCCAGTAGTTGTGCACCTAAGAAAAAAAAAAGCTGTAAATAATATACGGCGCATATATCTCTTTGTTATGCGGGAAAGCATGGAGGGCCGGTACCATTACACCTTTCTTCCCCACCTATAAATAGAGAGGCACCCAGTACCAAATTTGGGCACACCAGCAAACAGCAAAAACACACCAGAGTAGTCATATATACCCAAAACACTCTTTCCATTTTTTCCCTTGCTCCACAAAAACAAAACCCTAATCTGATAATAAGCAGCCACGACCTAGCTTCAGCCCCACGCATATAAATTTGTTTTTTTTTTTTATGAGGTACAGTATTGTGTTTTTGTGTGTGTGTGTGTGTGGAGGAGGCATATGAATGGTGAATTGATTTGCTGTTGACAGAAGATAGAGAGCACAGATGGTTTTTGTGATGCCAATGAATATGCCATCTCAGTCCTTTGTGCTCTCTAGGCTTCTGTCATCACCTTCTGCCCCCCTTGGTGTGTTGTTTTTTTCTTCTTCTTCTTCTTCCCCTTAGGGTTCCATGTGTAGATTTCCTATTTGTTTAACTATGTGTGTCTGCTGGCTATATGTTTTCAAGGGTGAGAATTTTTGGTGTTGACAGAAGATAGAGAGCACAGATGATTTTTTGTGATGCCATGGATGCCATCACACTCCTTTGTGCTCTCTAGGCTTCTGTCATCATCTTATGCTCCTCTTGGTGTTTTTTCTTCTTCTTCTTCTTCCTTTTGTAATTGCTAGGAATAGGGTTTCCTATTTTGGGTTGTTTTGCTTGCATCTTGATCTGTTTGGGTTGTCTTACTATACTATGTCTCTGCTGCTATGTGTTTTAGGAGGCATACGAATTAAGGGTGAGAATTTGGTGTTGACAGAAGATAGAGAGCACAGATGGTTCTGGGATGCCGATCGAAATCCATATCTACCCGAACCAAGCCGATGAATGCATCTCAATCCTTTGTGCTCTCTAGTCTTCTGTCATCACATCAAATCTCCCCGTCCTTTTGTGTTGCCGCTTCTTGGACAAGTTTACATCAGTTTATTAACCTGTATGCATTTTGGGTCACTTAATAATGTCTTCCATGATAGATAGACTCGAATTATTAGAATCAACCTGTTTGTTTTTAGGGTTGTTGCAGGAAAGCAACCAGCTAAGAGATAATTGGTCTGAATACTCTAAATATCCAGAGTTTCTGCAAATATCCAAAGTTGAACAGCTGGATGAGAAAAGCAGAGGAGATTGGATCATCCTAAAGAAGAGAAAGTGGGTAGAACGAAGGAACATAATTAGCAACACATCTGCTTTTCCTACACTCTTTACTACTTGTAAATGTAATTCTCCTTGATCTTTGTTAGTTTAGTAGTAGAGAAGACACCTGGAGCAACTCAATCCCACTTGATTATTCAAAACACTGGTAGTAGCTAGGTCTAACGTAGAGATATTGTACAGTTGAGTTCATATATTCACGAAGCTCCAGAGAGAAGGCAAACCTAAACCCTATTCGACTACCAAAACTCTCGCCCTTAAATCTTAATTAGCTACATGTGCTGTAGTTTAAGGAGCAAAGGTTTGACTCTGCCTTAGATTTGGAGGGATGCAAAACACCAAGTTGGCGGTGGTTGGAAGGGAAGGAGGCATAGCCAAGGACAATTGTTTAATTGCTCCAAACAAACACATTCTAGTCAAACAAATAGTTTATGTTTTAGAGCAAGTCATAATTAATTGATACTCAACAAGTTTTACTCTAGTTCAATACAAAAGTATGCATTCGTGTCAATGATACTTCCTATATACTAATCACTTTGATCGTCCAATATCAAACTCGTAAGTTTTCGTCGAACTTTGATCTCTCACAATACATATGACTGAATTACGTCTCATCCTTAATTTCATTCGGATTAAAAATTATAAATGATTTGAGAAAATTACAATACACATAGTAAATGTGTATATTTATTTACATTTCGACTACCTGATTTGATAACAGACTGGTATTAATTTTAATTATTACTAGAATGGGACCGCGCTATGTTGCGGATGGTAAGAGACGGTGAAATTATTGGTTACTGGCTCAATAACATGTAATATGTTTGTTACAATAAGTTTGTATTTGTCTAGCTACTTTATTTACTTGTTAAGGTCTTTTTCATGATTTTTACTCATTATAATTTCTTAATTTTCTAATTCTACCATTTTACCCATAGACTATCTTAAAAAGGCATAGTTAGTAAAAAATATGTTTGATACATGAATTACGGTTGAGATGTATACATTTTTCGTTTATTAGATACTTCAGGTTATGGATGACAAATTCGACCTAACTCGTTTTATCCGATCTGTTTGACCTATTTTTGGGTAGTGGGCGAGCCGGGGCAGACATGGGTAGTGTCCTCGACCTGCCCTATTTTGACCCGTTCTTGCTTATATCACATGTAATTTTACTCAAATTACTTAGAGTGTTACTTTTATTACCTAATATTTTAGTTATAATAAAGTTGTAAATAGGTAAGAAGCTCATGAATAATTTAACAACATTGATCATATTGTAGTTTGTTTCTTGATTCTTGTATGAAATAATGAATATTTTCAAAATTTTATGTTGAAATAACATACTCATATAAGTCAACCTGCGCTAACCAGAGCTCCGTAATAAATTAGCCAACCCGCCACTATGCCCGCCCGAACTTCCACTTTACCATTCCTAATTCAGGTACATATTCAAAATATGCCCGCCCATATACTTTATTAACCGTTTTTCCCAACTAATTAATTAATTATGAAGTTCTCAATAAGTATAAAAGACAGAAATATATAGAAATAGAAATGAATGGCTGATAACTGATAACCGGTTTCACCCCAATTAAATCCAAGAAGCTTCATGGCATCCATGGAGAAACATGTTAAACAAAATGGCCTTAAGCCCTCCACTTCCCACATATAGCCAAGTGTCAATAAATAGTTGGTCAGTCATATACAATCTTAGACAACAGTAATCCTGTTTTAAGTTTATATATATTAATTAATTAATAATTCACTAGGTGCGCGTAAGAGTTTTGATGACTCTCACAAACTCCCAAATCTTCTTTGTCCCGCATATATATAAACTTGAAAGAAAACAAAAACGTAGAACCACCCTCTCTTTGTCACCATCAATTATTGATAGACACATCATAAAAAGGAACATCTGGTCAAGTAAATACATCCATTTTAGACTAGAAACCACACTGTGCGCATCTTGAACGCACAACCGCTGCCTCAATTATTCCTCCATTTTTTTTAACTCGTATACATCATATCAATATATCAATGGCATGAAATTCCCTTTTTTCAATTCTTTTTATAAGATTGATTTATTGATTTGAATTCGAGATTTCCAGATTCAACGACAGTAATATTACTATTAGACCAAATCATTGTTCATGAAATCCCCTTTTATTAACCACCAATGTAACGTTTCGTTTGTTTTTTATCTACGATTAACAACTTTCATCAACCATATCTCATTAACACACGAATAAACGAATAGGAAAAAAAGTAAAATACAGCAAACGTATAACATTTTTCATTGTTTACAAACTTTAAAAAACCTTGAATATCGAGATCGAATTAGATCTCATACCAAACGACGATCCATATTCCAAAAAAAAAAACACAAAAAACAAGCGCTACATGGGAGACAACTCATGTGCGGCGGAGATGTTCTTGAACATCTCGTAAATAATCCTGTTCTGAAACTCCTCGTTTGTGCACGAACTCCTGACCTGCCTTGCCTTCGGAACCCTCCTGTTCCCGAAAGCCAAGTTGGTGTTCAAGTAGCCCACGCTCCCGGCCAGCCTCACCATCATGTCGAGATAGCCGTTCCTCAGCTTCGCCGCCAGCTTCAGCGGCGCCGACATCACGACTCTCAGCCTCAGCCGCAGCTTCGGCACCGCCCTGATCCTCCACCCCAGCCTGCGTGACGGCGACGACTGGCCGCCGCCGAGCCTGACGGTGCGGATGTTCTTGTTGCGGATCGAGCCGTCTTGCAGCTTCTGGTATCTCTTGCTTCTCCAGTATCTGTCCCCCGCGCCGCTGTAGAGTTTTGTGCCGAAGATTTCCATTTCTTGGTGACGAGAGAGAGAGAGAGAGAGAGAGGGAGAAGGAGTAAAAGGGAAAGGTTTTTTGATGCGGTTTGGAGGCCGAGTTGTTGGTGTAATGTGTATTTATGGGGAAGACATATGAATTATGAAGGCAAGCACGCAGCAACGGAGAAAGTAATTATAATAATATAAATTATTAAATTAGACCGAATTAGATGTGTTGTTTAGCGTTTACAAGTCCGGGGTCAAGGTCAACAAGGGCAAGCGGTTCAACGTTCTCCATTATTATTATTAAATAAATACGAATATTTGATACCGTTTAATTTCTAGCGTCCGGGGAGGAATTTTATATATTAATTGGATTTCATTTTAATGTGTTTTTAGTATGTTATCTACTCCAATTATTTGTTTTTAGGAATGGACCTAAAAATCCTTTTGGACTGACAAAATGTGGTAGACTTTCAATTTTAGTTTCCGCGCTGAAAATTAGACTCGTCGTCAGCAAGTTAATCGCAAGACATACATGTTAAACAAGACACATAACGAGTTAACGAGTTTTGGCAAGTCTGTACTCTGTAGTTTACCTCTATTTTTTTTATGCATTGTAGGATCGTTAAATCATATAAGATGTTGTATCGAAAAAATTAGCTATAGGATATTTTATATTAAAATTGTGATTTAAACGTGGTTCAACCATTTCATATCGTTAAATCCTACATTAATTATATATTTGTAAACATGTATTTGTATGTTTTAGAAAAAAAATTCCTACAAACTATTAATTCTTATTTAACCTATTTACAAGGGATAATGATACATATTAGGGGTGTTCAAACGGTTTGGTTACCATGGTAACCGTTTTAACCGGTACTATTTGGATAATTTGGTTTGGTTAATTTGGATAATTGGTTTGGTTTGGTTAAAGTTTTTAGCTTGTTTGGTTTAGGTGGTTTGGTTTGGTTTCAGACACTCCTAACCAGTCAAACCTAATTAACCAGTTAAGTAATTAGTCATATATCTAACATATATTATATACACGTACTTAATACTTTGCATAACCACTCAAGAGTTAACGTTCATCCCTTTTAGACTCATAAAATATAAAGCTCAATATTGCTCATATAGTATATATTTGTAGATGTAAAATGTAGACCACAACATATGGACGCCTAATTTAGATAAATTTTATACATTATGATGGATGAAAACTTGAAAGGAAGGTCATTTCCAGCCTATGATAATTTCTAAGAGACTAAGTCAATTTACACAAACACAACAATTCATTAACCCATACCATTGTCATAAATTTTGTTAGGTGAATACTTCTATACTAATCGTAAGATAATTGTCTTAGTTGCATGTATTTTTGTTAATGGTCAACTATAAGTACGTGTTGATTATTATGTTTTATTCATTATATAAATTGCGAATTGTTGCATTAACCGAAAAATTTTCATCGTCAATGATAATGTGATTTTATATTGGTTAATCTGGTTAACCAATTAACCAAACCGATTAAACTTTAGTTTGGTTAATTTGGTTGTTGTATTAGTTTGGACGGTTTGGTTATGATATTGTATTCCATGGTTAATGGAATTTAGCCTTATTTGGTTTGGTTATAACCATGGTAACCATTTGAACACCCCTATTAACATATTGTATTGCATTATAAAAAATGAGACATATTATATTGTACACCCGTACTCAAAACTGGGGAGGGCATCGATCGATTTGGTCCAGAACTGGATCGAATTGAGCTAGAACCGGACTAATACAAAGAAAAATGAGGATCAGAATCGGACCAGAAGGATATTTGGTTTATACGATTTGATTCGATCCGATCCAAATTCACCTTTGATCTATTTTATTCATATTTAAAATAATTTATAAGACGAAACTGAATAAGAAATATTTGAAACAATCCAATTCAATTCAAATATTAATTCGATACGATTCGATCTAGTGTGAATCGAATCGTTGCCCACTCTACTCATAACACAGCCTCTGCCCGCTCTTATGTTATTGATGATCAGCGGGACAGACGCCATTATTTGAGTGTCGGCCAAGTATAATAAATCCCTGTTGGTCAAAGAAGATGCACGTACGTACGTACCCTTTCATCCAGAAGGTTGACGTCAAACAGAATTCAACAGCCATTATTAATTTGTTTAATCACTTTCCTCACCCAAATAATAGAAGGTTGTTAATTGTTATTAAGAGGATGAGCTATATAATTGCGACTACAGCCCATGGCCGATGGCCCACGCCACCATTTGAAGCCATACTATGAAGTTATGAACCACTGTAGGACGGACAGCCCACCGGCTATATAGGTTAGGACTTTGAAAAAACTTCCTCCATGAGAAAAAGGTGCCAACAACTCAACGCCCTCTTATTTATAATCTAGTTGAAGAACATAAATCGATCCAGTACCATAACAACAACAACAAAAGAAATGGAAATTGTATCTAATCACAAAACAGTACGGTTCACTATAATAAAAATCGAGTTTTAACGATTAAGTAGATTTATCGAAATAAGTAATTTATATGCTTCAAAAATTTTAATAGTGTTGGGGGTGTTCAGATCGGAGAGGACCATAACACGTGGTGGAGCCTAATATGAGGGATGGGATCTAAGCAGCCAAGTAGGGGCGAGGCTCGCACGTCTACTCGAGACCCGAAGGTGTACGTGTTCAAGAAGATCATTTGGGTAATGTCTGATGCCTATAGGCTTTAACAGGGAAGGCGTGTCGACCTGGGCGCCTGATGAAGCGATAACATAAGCAAGCGTTCATTAAGCGCCTAGTGTGTATTTGGCAGTGGTAAACGCTAAACCAGGCGCCTAGGGTTACTCCGTTGCATTAAATGCAGTGATGACGTGGAAGTTCGTACGGAGAGGCTCGGGTAAGTGATGAACAGTTATAAATAGGAGGTTGATAAGCATTTACTCAATTTGGACCACCTCTGTTTGTGCAGGTGAATCCACGAAGGTGCGAAAAGGAGGGTCGTAGATCAAAAAGGCTTCAACAAATAGCAACACATAAAATTTCTCACAATTAACACTTGCACTAAAATTTCTCATAATGCCAGACCTTAATTGGCGTGGTTCGCTTAAGAGTCTAGCTAACAAGAATGTGGTTCACGATAGAGTTTGGGCTGTGCTCAATGGAGATGCACAGGTTTCTAAATTTTCAAGTTTTAAACTGGATCGAGTCTGATCCAATTTTCCCATCTATTTCACAACCGGAATCTGAATCAAATTACGTTACATTCTATTTTTTTTTTATTACTACTCGACCGAATTCTACAATGCAATTTTTGATTTGATCGAGAAACTGTGACCGAATTTCCACTTTTTATCATTGTATAAGTTACTTTTATTTAAAGGGGAAGGTTTATCACATGAAACTTTTGTCACCTACTTGGCAGTACTTTTTGACTGATGCGAATAAGCAACTTCCATTAATTGTCATCATCAAACGAATAAGCCAATAAACTCGGAAAGAGTGATGATCAATCTCGATATACAATCTAGCTAGCAACAATGTCAAGAACCAGTTGCTCCCAATAACTCGAGTTATTGAGAGAAAGTTACGCTGGATCTTATGCAGACCCATATATAGTGCTTAACCACTTCCTTACAAACAACCTACATGGGGTTCAATTCATGGGCTGCTGAAATGTTCTTGAGCATCTCGCACACGATCCTTCTCTGAAACTGTTCGTCGCTACAAGACATCCAGACCTGCCTAGCCTTGGGAACCCTCTTGTTCCCAAACACCATCTGGGTATTCAAATACCCCACGCTGCCGGCCAGCCTCACCATCATGTCCATGTAGCCGTTCTTCAGCCTCGCCGCCAGCTTCACCGGCGCCGCCGCCACGACTCTCAGCCGCAGCTTCGGCACCACCTTGATCTTCCACACCAACTTATAACCTCCTCCACCTTTGTTGTTGTCGTCGCCGAGCCTGGCGATGCGGACGTTCTTGTTACGAGTCGCGCCGTCTTGTAGCTTTTGATATCGTTTGCTTCTCCAGTATCTGTCCCCCGTGCTGTGGAATTTGGTGCCGAATATTTGCATTTTCTTTGGAATTAAGGTTTAGAGCGTGCAGAAGAAGAGCTAAATGTGGAGTGCGAGATTGTGAGTGTAGTAAGGTGTACTTTATGTATGTTATCTAATTAAAGGTTGTGAAAGCAAGCAGGAAGCGCGCAGCATAGTGTGGAGGAATTGATGGAGAAAGAGGTGTGGGCTTCAAGTAATAATAATATAATAATATGTGTATTGAAGAGTCAAACATATGCAGCCGCGGTTCAGACTTCAGAAAACTACAGAGACTGTATGCCGGCATATAGCACGTGGGAGCGTCGCTGTTTGGGATATACCGAATATCGTATTGAATTTTATCGATATTTTTGTTATCATCAAAATGCACGTATTAGTTTAGGAGGCTGGGATTGAATCTCATGTGTTATTTGATATTACAGATTACTAGATTGAGATCGGTATCTACCGCGAACCGATCAATACAAAAAAAAAAAAAAAAAAAAAAGAAGCTAGTGTGTATTGTATATCCCTTCTAATTATAGGCTGGCTCACTCGCTGCTACCAGAACCTCAATCGCCAGGATGACCACTTGATTATACGAGTTGCTTTATCATCACTACTGTTTGACAGCCCGATATCAAGCTCATTTTGTTATTTGTAGTATATTGTTTATGAGTTGCTTAGGGGTCTCCTGTTTTAGTTTGTTAATGTGTTTCTTAGGCATCACGTTTTTTTTTCAAAGTTTGTTGTTATTATACTTGAGATTTTTTTCTCATTTGTTTTGCACAAGTGTCGGCACCATTATTTGTTTATGAGAATGGTCATGTGGAGCGCTTAGTAGAGGAGAAGTATTTGCGTTTGTATATTTGATTTATAATTTCGAGGAGAATTTATTTGATACTTGTGTATATACTGATACACGAACAAAATATAGAAAATGAGATACCAAATTTATTTTGTGATTGAAAAGACGTTGAGTATGCTATTTGATATTCGAGAATTTAATATTAAGTACTAAATACATTACCATTCCTAACACTAATTGCATGCGACCTTTTTCCCTTTAAAAAATGCTTCCGGTTCAATTTGGTCATCCCGCTGAAGTTTTGGATGCGTGGCCTGGATTTATTAATATGTCAAACCGGAGAATTGAAGCGCAATTTCATCGCCATGCACATGTTTAACACAAAATCTCTAATATATTATATTGTTTGTTCAGCTGTTCACACGACATTGCACGCTGCATGTTCCACGAGCATTTTAGCAATGTTGTCAAAGCCGAGCCGGAGTATGACCCGGTAACGTGAACGGCTCGGTCATTAGTGGTCCAGCCGGCATTAGACCGTTTAAAAACCGTTTGAGAACCGGTACCTAATAAACAGTCATCTGTATAAATAGTAGACACTTCTTAATCATGGTAAACCACAAGTAAATTACTCTCGTACAAAAGAAACATCGAATCAGCAAAAAAAAATTGCTAAATGGGACATGGAAATCTCACGGCAGTAACACAAACAAACACAAACAAATTTTATGCTTATCCTTCATACTCTCGGCTTGGCTTTTAAACAATTGAATTACTTTACAAATGAAAGAAAGAACCCTCACGCCAACTCTTCCTCTTGCCTACTTCTGTTCATCTACGCATTAAGATACAAACATGGACTTTACAAATGAAAGAATGAATTGATTACCTAGGCTAATTGGGGAAGAAGTTAATTGCCAATTGGAGAAGGGAGGGCAGCAGCAAAGGCAGCGGGTTGATGCAGGAGAGAGGCAGCAGGGGTCGATGCAGGGGAGACCTCACCGGATTCGCATCCGTTGCGCTCGCCGGCAGTAGGAGTCGACGACGATGGCGGCTTGGACGAAGGCTGCGGGGAACGGCGGCGAGTTGTGTTTTGGACGAACGGGGAAGGCGTCGAGATGCGTTTTGGCTGGCGTCGAGATGCGATGGCGACGACGATGGAACGACGACGGGAACAAACGACGACAGCGCTGGACGAAGGCTACGTTTCCGGTGGGCGACGAAGGCACTGGACGAAGGCTGCGGAGGAGCTGCTTCTCCTTCGTCGTCTGCGGCCGAAGAGGGAACGAAATAAAATTAGGGTTCCCTTGGCCGTGAGAGTTCAGAGTTCAGACAGCCTCCCGTCCCCTTTCATTTTAATTTTTGATTTTTAGTTTCTGTTGTTTTTTTTAATTACATCAGCCGGCCCAAATGCTAAAAACCGGGCGAGCGGCTCGAGCGGTTCGAGCGATTAACCGCTTCGGCCGCTCGCCGACCGTCCCAAATAACCACTCCGGCTTAATAGCTGAGTCGAGCCGGTTTTATGGGCGGTTGGCGGTTTTGGCGGCTCGGCCGGCCGGCTCGGCTCGGCTTTGACAACACTGCATTTTAGTTTACTTTATGGGCGATCCAATTCCAAAGATATATAAAATTCTGATTGGGGGCAAATTAAGAAGATGCTGCCAGCTGCCACCTTACCCCTTTCATCTAGAAGCTCCATTTCTTTCATTCATTATGTACAAGTACTTCCTATAAAAAAAATAATTATGTACAAGTACAAGTTACAACCCACCTACGCCGCATCATTTCACGGCAACTATTAGTAGGGATGGAAAAAGTATCTCCAACCGTGAATATCCGCCCAAATCCGATTTAATTGAGTAGGATAGAACCGAATTTGAAGGATTTTTAGTGTGTACGGGTAAAACCCGAACCCGAATATTGTGGGTAATGGATGGACATGATTTTTTCACTATCCAATCCGAACACACCCGATTATACACATTCGTGTCTATTTTGTCTAGAAATGATCATTATTTTTCTCAACATATTCTATATTTAACATACAAGTATAATATTTTAATTAATTTTCTTCATTCCAGTGATTTATTGTCGTATTTTTTCTCTTATGCAATGTGAGTATACTTGTGAATGTTAACATGTTGGTTGAAGTTATAACGAGAAATTACTATCCATAGATAACCGTGGATACCTAAAACCCGAACAGGTATGAGTATGTGCATGGTTTTGATTTTCTACCCGATTTTTATGTGGGTATGGGTAAAATCCGAACTATTTTAAGTAGAATAACTAATGTGCACTATCCATTCCCAACCCGACCCGTTGCCATCTCTAACTATTAGTTTAATCAGTTTTCTCAAGCCCAACTTCAGCCATGGGCTATATAATTGGGAACGTAGCCCATGGGCCCTCTGGAGTGATATAACAATGTGACTATAGTCCATTAACCACTGTAAGCTTGTAATTGGGCAAGTGACAGAAATCCATCCAAATTTGTCGAAGAAATCCTCAAATGTAACAACATTTTTGGTAGCCGCATTCTTTCAGGCTTCTCCTCTCATATCAATAGGATGGCAATGGGTCGGGTCGGGGACGGATAGTGCATATCCGTTACCCTACCCAAAGTAGTTCGGGTTTTACCCATGCCCATACCCACATGTGAAACGGGTAGAAAATCAAAACCATGCCCATACCTGTTCGGGTTTCGGATATCGGGTAATAATTTCTCTTCATAACTCCAACCAATATGTTAACATTCATACGTATTCTCACATTACTTAAGAGGAAAAGTACGACAATACTTCATGAGAATGAAGAAAATTAATTAAAACAACACAATTTCATGAAAATATTATATTTATATGATAAAATATAAAATATGTTGGAGAAAAATAATGATTATTTATAGACAAAATACATGTGCATATGTATAATCGGGCGGGTTCGGGTTGGATAGTGTGAAACCCATGCCCACCCATTACCCGCAATATTCGGGTTCGGGTTTTATCCATACCCGATTAGGCCGGATTCGGGCGGATATCCACGGTTACGGATATTTTTGTCATCCCTATCCATCGATGGAAACCGGACAACCATAGCCACTTGAGTACATTAATGTTATTTCGGACACTTCCAATGCAGTAAGATTACAGGTATTCAAAGTTTGAAAGAAGAAGGAAAAAAAAACAACATATGAATTGCATAGGGATCAATATTATGACAATTTTCAGCTATGACTTTCGCAAATGGAATGGAAAAAAGTTAACGTGATTAACTGCTGAGACAAACAGGTCTCGAACCAGAACGCACGAAGTCACCCGGACTTCTTGCCTCTTGGGCCCAAAGTTGGGCCGGGCCTCCTTTAATGAGCTTCTTGCCGCTTCAACATACTGGACAAATTCGGAATGGACGATTTCCTCTTTTTCATAGGCACCGAGACGGATCGAGTCGTCCCCCGACTCGGTGTAAACTCAGCCGTCCGAAGCTTCAAACGCCTCGACGGAGTCAGGCTCCCGCTGCTGCTCGCTCTGGCCGCTCTCCTCGGAGTTTCGCTCATCGATTTCTTCCTGCCGGCGGCGTTTCCATTGCTCTGACGGTGATACTGATTCCGATTCTTTGCCTCTTCCTCCTCCGGAATCGCCCTCTCAGCCCTCAACTCCTCCCTCTCTTCCTCCACCCTCGTCTCCCTCAGCTCCCGGTGCGCCATCTCCACTTTCATCAATATCTCCTTCTCGCTCGCCTTCAACGCTTCGATCCACGCCTGCGCCGCCGCCACCTTCTTGTCCGCGATATCCTCCGCCTTCGCCGCTCGCCCCGTCAGGTACTCGTACTCGAACCTCGACAGATTGATCGTCGAGGAGCCTTCCAGAGAGGCCGAAGCTCTGGCTCTCACGGCGTTCTCAATCAGATCCTGCAGATTCTTCAAAGCTACAGCCTCCGACGCCTTGATCGTCTCCAGTTCCTCCATCGCCACCTCCAATTTCCCCTCGGTTAGGTCAATGTCCGCCTCGGTCTTCCGAATCTCCGCCTTGATGCTCGCCGCCTCGTCACCGATAAGCTCCTTCTCCTTCTTCGCCACCTCCGCTTCCGTCTTCAATTGCTCCAGTGTGAGGTTCAGATTCGCCACGATCGATTTCGCCTTCTCCTCGGAGGAAATTGCAGCTTCCAGCTTCGATTTCCCCCGCAGAAGCTTCGAATTCAGGTTCAGCACCGTCGCATCTGCCTTTTCCTCTTGTTTCTGCAGCCTGGCTGCCTCGTCCCTCACGTGATTGAGCTCGTTCCTGATTATGTCCATGGAGGCCATGAACTGAAACCCTTCCTCCTTCACCGTAGCCAATTCCTTCTTCGCAGCCTCCAATTCGTCGGTAATCGACTTCAACAACGGTGAACTGTCGTCATTTCCTTCTTCGACTCTCCTCGAGAAGCTGATGGAACTCCTCAATCCGTCGTTTCCCTGCTGCATCTGCTTCTTCTTCTTGTTCTTCTCCTCCAGCTCTTTCGCCTGCTTCAGCTCGGTCTGCAGAACGCTGGCGTCGTACAGAGTGACAGCCAATTTCGACTCCAGCTCTCTGGAGCTATCGATCTCTCCATTTACCGCGTCGATTTTCTTCCTCTTCTCCTCAACCGCGGAGGAGAATTCGGCAGACTCCTTCTCCCTTCCCGCTTCGATCTCTTCCTTCTCCTTCAACGCCTCGATGGTCGCCAGCTCGACGAGGACTTGCTCTTCGTTCGCCTCGTCGATCTCTTTCCTCAGCACCTCCGCCTCCGCCTGCTGCTTCGATTGTGAGCTCGCGGCTACCTTTTCGGCCTGAGCTTTCTCTTGCAGGACAGACGCCATGCCGAGCTTCAACTTGCTGAGCTCCTGTTTGACGAACTCCAGCTCCTTCATTACCTCCAGGTAACGGTCGGATTTCCGGCCGCTGCTCTCGGCTTCGCCTTCGACCGGGGAGCTGTGTGCCGGCGGTGGCTTCGGCGCTTCCTCCATGCCCTTGTTTCTGGAAATGACTTTGGCGTTGGATTCCTCAATCTGAGAAGCGAGGTCTTTGACGGCTCTTTTCGCCTGGGAGAGCTCGTTATCTGCTTGGGTTTTTACAGATTCGGCCGTCCTTCTCCGCTCTCTGTACCTGGCTATGTCCCTCTTTGCCATGTGGAGCTCCGTGGTCCTTGACGGAGACTGGGGAATAAACTCAAAAGAGCAGGCCAAACAATTAGTAAGCAACAAGGAATGGTTCAGATTTGCCGCAATTGGAAGGTTTCTGTCTCTAAACCCTTTACCTCAGTATAATTCCCCGACTGTGATTTCTTAGTGGTTGTTCCGTCGGAGAGTCTCTCCCCGAACATATTGATAGCGGCTTTCACCGTCCCCGTTCTTTTCTGATCATCCGAAGCTCTTGCGGCCATCATTTCACCTACCAGCAGTCAGAAAACAGTGAAATCAAAAGAGAGTTTTCAGCCGGAAGAAATTGCTGAGAAAACTACTACTACTCCGGGGGGGAAAAGTGAGTGAGGCAGAGTTACCAGATTGATGTCGTCGAGCGGGAGCTGCTGAGTTTCTGGTGGAAGACGGAAGGGAAGAGGACCTGGGATGGAGATGCGGGGAATCTCGAGGCGCTTCTGCGGACATTGGAATGGTGGTGGAGGAGGAGGAGAAGAAGAAGAGGTGGCGAGGGCGGGTGCCTTGAGGCCTGAGGGAAACGACTGGCTCATATTCATATTGGACCAATCGCTCTGCCACCTAGTTATTGCCTGATAGGAACTGGTTTCTTTGTTTCTTTACTCTCTCCATCCGTCCCTCCATCCTCTATCTGACTATCTCTCTTGTTTTTATTGGCTCAGTTTTCTTGGATTTTTCATCTCTGTGTGTTTCATTTTTTGGATTATTAGGCTTTTTATTGGAACCTGTATAAATGTGATCTCACATCTTATTTCTTTTGCCAGAACGACGGACACCAAAACGCATCAATCATGTTATTTATGATTCATGGCAATGGCTATGGAATATAGGAAGAATGTGTGCCAAATGGAAACAAATGGTGCTCATAATAGCCAAGAAATTGGGCACGAATTATGATTAGCATTCTTTTATAGTTCCTTATGATGGCACTTGCACCAGAGAAATTCAGGTTCACTTCCACCTTCCTAAATCCCTTGTGTCACGCTCTTTCCAGGCCTTCAGCTGAACCCTTAAAGCTCTTGTGATTGAGTAGTCGTTGATGTCGTGGTTGAAGTCGACGTCGAGTTTTTCAATTATGCTGGCCACCGGAGTCGGTCGAAGGCCGCCTTACACCTCGAACTACTCTTGTGATGTCAGCTCCGGTCGGCTCTTGCAAAAAGGATATGTCGGCCGATCTCGACAGGAATACTCTTTGACGCTGAAGTTGATGAGCCCTAGAGGGACTCTTTGAGTCGAAGTTGCGCAGCTAAGGATCGAGTTGAAGCTCAACTCTCCTTCGAACAAGAACCGGGTGAGTTTCAAAGGGATTTGGATGGTAACTTTCCGTGCAATCATACACTGGGACGAAGGAGCGAAGAGTATGAGGTAGAGTCTGACCACGATCAAGGGGGTTACTTGATCGATACAAGCTAAACAAGCTGTTGGAATCCACCAAGCAACTCACAATCCACAAAGCCAAAGCTCAATGAATCAATTCACACTTTATTTCAACTTCATCGATCGATCTTACAATGCAATGGAAAGACTCTTAAATAGACCCAGGTTAACTTACACAAACTAATACGAAGTCCTTAACACAATTAAACACGGAAATCATAGTTCAAACAGAAAAGGGTAAGAAGAATCCTAATCCGTAAAGAATTCAGATTTGCTGGTTTGCAAGACAGCTTGGCTTGTCTTCGTACGATCTTACAGGCTCTTGTGCGAAGGCTTTGAGGCGTCGCTTTGATCAGCCAATCCCACTTCTCTGTAGTAAGTAACACCCACTTTCATGTAGTGTAAACCCCAGTGCTCGAACCTCCATCATCTCTTCGTTTTGAGATTCAAAGTGGCCATCTCAGTCACGGGTTTACACTTAGAGAATTTCTGCCAATTTCCTTAATTTATGGGGCGACGAAAGGCCATTTTCTTTAGATTTTGAATGCTACAGGTCAAGGATTCGGCCTGAGACTATTCTTTAACGATGATTTTGTCCATTAAGCACCGATTTGAGTGGATTTATTCCGTGTCAATTTTTGGCAGATTCCAAAGGGTTACCATAATAGATTTTGGGTGATTTTTCCGAAATGCCTTTTTCTTTCGATTTTGGAGGCATACTGATCACGGATTCAGGCCGAGGCTATTCTCCACGAATAATGAAGTCTATTGATCCTATTCTCCACGGATGATAAATCCATTAAGCACCGATTTGGTCCAATTTATTTTGTATGGTATTTTCGTAATTTATGGGACGACGAATGCCATTTTCTTTGGATTTTGAAGGCTACAGGTCACGGATTCGGCCTGATACTATTCTTCATCGATGATTAAGTCTATTAAGCACTGATTTGGGCGGATTTATTCCGGGTCAATTTTTGGCAGATTCTAAAGGGGTAACATCACAGATTTCGGGCGATTTTTCCGAAATGCCATTTTCTTTCATTTTGGAGGCTACATATCACGGAATCTGGCCGAGGCTATTCTCCATCGATAATGAAGTCTATTGATCCTATTCTCCATGGATGATAAGTCCATTAAGCACGATATGAGCCAATTTATTTTCGGATGACATTTTCATAATTTATGGGGCGACGAAGGCAATTTTCTTTGGATTTTGAAGGCTACGGGTCACGGATTCGGCCTGAGGCTATTCTTCATCGATGATTAAGTCCATTAAGCACCGATTTGGGCGGATTTATTTTGGGTCAATTTTTGGCAGATTCCAAAGGGGTACCATCACAGATATCGAGCAATTTTTCCGAAATGTCATTTTCTTTCGATCAGGAGGCTACAGATAACGAAATCAGGCCGAGACTATTCTCCACCGATAATGAAGTCTATCGATCTATTCTGCACTGTTGATAAGTCCATTAAGCACCAATTTGGGACAATTATTTCCGATGGCATTTTCGTAATTTATGGGGCGACGAAAGACCATTTTCTTCGGATTTTGAAGGGTACGGGTCACTGATTCGGCCTGTGGCTATTATTCAACGATGATTAAGTCCATTAAGCACGGATTTGGGCGGATTTATTCCGGGTCATTTTTTGGCAGATTCCAAAGGGACCATCACAGATTTCGGGCAATTTTTCCCAAATGCCATTTTCTTTAGATTCAGGAGGCTACAGATCACGGAATCAGGCCGAGGCTATTCTCCACTGATAATGAAGTCTATTGATCCTATTCTGAACTGATGATAAGTCCATTAAGCACAATTTGGGCCAATTTATTTTCGGATGAAATTTTCATAATTTATAGAGCGACGAAAGGACATTTTCTTTGGATTTTGAAGGCTACGGATCACGGATTCGGCTTGAGGCTATTCTTCAAGGATATTTAAGTCCATTAAGCACCGATTTGGGCAGATTTATTTCGGGTCCATTTTTGGCAGATTCCAAAGGGGTACCATCACAGATTTCGGGCAATTTTTCCAAAATGTCATTTTCTTTCGATTTTGTAGGCTAATTTCACGGAATCTGGTCGAGGCTATTCTCTACTGATAATGAAGTCTATTGATCCTATTCTCCTCGGATGATAAGTCCATTAAGCACTGATTTCGGTGAATTTATTTTCGGATGACATTTTCATAATTTATGGGGCGACGAAAGGCCATTTTTTTTGGATTTCGAAGTTTACGTGTCACTGATTCGGCCTGTGGCTATTCTTCAACGATGATTAAGTCCATTAAGCATGGATTTGGGCGGATTTATTCCGGGTCAATTTTTGGCAGATTCCAACGGGGCACCATCACAGATTTCGGGCAATTTTTCCCAAATGCCATTTTCTTTAGATTCTGGAGGCTACAGATCACGGAATCAGGCCGAGGCTATTCTCCACTGATAATGAAGTCTATTGATCCTATTCTGAACTGATGATAAGTCCATTAAGCACCAATTTGGGCCAATTTATTTTCGGATGACATTTTCATAATTTATAAGGCGACGAAAGGACATTTTCTTTGGATTTTGAAGGCTACGGATCACGGATTCGGCTTGAGGCTATTCTTCAAGGATGTTTAAGTCCATTAAGCACCGATTTGGGCAGATTTATTTCGGGTCAATTTTTGGCAGATTCCAAAGGGGTACCATCACAGATTTCGGCAATTTTTCCAAAATGTCATTTTCTTTCGATTTTGTAGGCTACATTTCACGGAATCTGGTCGAGGCTATTCTCTACTGATAATGAAGTCTATTGATCCTATTCTCCTCGGATGATAAGTCCATTAAGCACCGATTTCGGTCAATTTATTTTCGGATGGCATTTTCATAATTTATGGGGCGACGAAAGGCCATTTTCTTTGGATTTCGAAGTCTACGGGTCACTGATGCGGCCTGTGGCTATTCTTCAACGATGATTAAGTCCATTAAGCACCGATTTGGGTGGATTTATTCCGGGTCAATTTTTAGCAGATTCCAAAGGGGTACCATCACAGATTTCGGGCAATTTTTCCCAAATGCCATTTTCTTTAGATTCCGGAGGCTACAGATCACGGAATCAGGCCGAGGCTATTCTCCACTTACAATGAAGTCTATTGATCCTATTCTGTACTGATTATAAATCTATTAAGCACCAATTTGGGTCAATTTTTTTTCGGATGACATTTTCGTAATTTATCGGGCGATGAAAGGCCATTTTCTTTGGATTTTGAAGGCTACGGATCACGGATTCGGCTTGAGGCTATTATTCAAGGATGTTTAAGTCCATTTCGATTTGGGCAGATTTATTTCGGGGCAATTTTTGGCAGATTCCAAAGGGGTACCATCACAGATTTCGGACAATTTTTCCAAAATCTCGTTTTCTTTCGATTTTGTAGGCTATATTTCACGGAATCTGGCCGAGGCTATTCTCTAGCGATAATGAAGTCTATTGATCCTATTCTCCTCGGATGATAATTCCATTAAGTACCGATTTGGGCCAATTTATTTTCGGATGGCATTTTCGTAATTTATGGGGCGGCGAAAGGCCATTTTCTTTGGATTTTGAATGCTACAGGTCACGGATTTGGCCAGAGGCTATTCTTCAACGATGATTAAGTCCATTAAGCACCAATTTGGCCGATTTATTACGGGTCAATTTTTGGATGATTCCAAAGGGTACCATCACAGATTTCGATCGATTTTTTCGAAATGCCATTGTTTGATTATGGAGGTTACATATTACGGAATCAGGCCGAGGCTATTCTCCACCGATAATGATGTCTTTTGATCCTATTCTCCACGGATGATAAGTCCATTAAGCACCAATTTGAGCCAATTGATTTTTGGATGACATTTTCGTAATTTATGGGGCGATGAAATGCCATTTTCTTTGGATTTTGAAGGCTTCGGATCATGGATTCGTTCTGAGGCTATTCTTCAAGGATGATTAAGCCCATGAAGCACCGATTTGGGTGGATTTATTCCAGGTCAAGTTTTGGCAGATTCCAAAGGGGTATCATCACATATTTCGGGCAATTTTCCCGAAATAGCATTTTCTTTCGATTCTGTAGACTATAGATCACGGAATCATGCCGAGGCTATCCTCCACCGATAATTAAGTCTATTGATCCAATTCTCCACGAATGATAAGACCATTAAACACCGATTTGGGACAATTAATTTTCGCATGGCATTTTCGTAATTTATCGGGCGACGAAAGGCCATTTTCTTTGGACTTTGAAGGCTACGGTTTACTGATTCGGCCCGAGGCTATTCTTCAACGATGATTAAGTCCATTAAGCACCGATTTGGGTGGATTTATTCCGGGTCA